CTCAAACATACGTCGCATTCCCGGCCAGAACGCTGCACATTGGTCGCCACGGCGAGACGAATGGCTAATGAGAGGCCACAGATGCATGCTCCGTACAGCAAGCACACAAAATGCCTTGGACGATAGGAAAACACCATTACAGGTCCGCTCCATCATGACGGCATCCGCGGAGCCGACCACTTTCATCATCATACATCCCGATCCTAGCACTGCAAGATCTAATCCACGCATTCTACCCCGAGATCTTTCTTGGGACATTGCATATGTAATGTGTGTACCCGTCCCCAGACACATGACTGTGTATCCCCACTCACGCGCTGCGAACGTGTGGTCTGAAACATACGCAAAGTTACACGGCATAAACCAGCTCGCTAAATTGGGCAGCCTTTCATCCTGCATCGAATCGCAAGTGCCGCCTGCAATATCGTTCTGCGGTGCTCTTCGGAGAATTCTCAGAGCAGATGCAGGGCTTGTATGGTGGCGGAAGACTTTGTCTGCATACTCGTCACAGCACTTGAACCTTAAACGCGGAGCCATCGAAGAAAATGGGAAAGCCGGGCGGCGGATGTGGTACTCGCCGTGAGTACGCGACACGCGCCCCATGGTGCATCAACCTCAGATACCACGCCTTCATCTCTGTTGGTACGTAACTGCTCGTATTGTCTTGATGCATGTCTCACTTTGACAGGTAAGTAACCTCCACCTGTATCCTGTCAGATTGCTGGTGCTTAGGCGAAATGAAGACTTGACAGGCGGATAGAGTGGAACACGTCCTTTTCGAGACCGCCATACATACGAACACCTGCTCTACCATTGGTCGGGTCCTTGTACCTAGCTCACAAACCTGCGGCATCTCAGTCACAATACGAGGACAGCTCGACCATGGGTTCCAATGCATCCTGCAACCACATCCATTCTTCTAGGTTACACAGTGTCATGGGCGCTTCACCCCCGGCCCTCGGCTCTCCATACTTTCACAGAGAAAGTGTGGTCTCGGACATGTCCGTCTGTATGCATCTTCCCCTGCATTGTACATGGCCATTTGTCCACCTCATGTTCGGTGGACTATCCCGACTGTTCGGCATGCCGATGCTGTTCTCGTACGTCTTGTTTTTTCGTCCATGGCTATTGCCACTCCCGAGCCGATTTGTCTTCAATACTGCCATATAGGGAACGCCTCCCGCAAACCCGGTTCAGCCTCCCTGCAATTTCAACTCCATGTAGCAAAATCAAGCGCAGTCGTACAGCGCTTGCTATTGTGCTCTACTGGACCGTTTGGGTGCAAGTAAAAGATGAGAATCTCGGGAGCCAGGGCACCCTGTCTGCATATGAAAACGTGTGCATATGCTCGCAGCAGCTTTCCGAAAGAGCATGCGCATGCAGACAACGAGCTTCTGGGAATAATGGAGCCAGGGTGTCGTGTTCCTTCTAGACATACCTGCATTCGATGCAGGAGGCCGGTCGGAACGGGCCTTGTACGGGCTGGATGCAGAGTTGTATTACTCCAGCCGAGGAACAATGAAAGGCGACGTCGGACTTGGCGAGAACGTAGGTATCATAAGCGTGGGGTTTGAGTGGCTATGAGACCAATATGGAGGACGAAGATCAGCTGATCAGTCCAGCGCGCGTGACAATATGATGTTCAACATCTCGTACCAGATTGAGAGGAACTTGCAGAACAGGAGGGTTCAGTCGCCCAAGGCGTAGCCGTCAAACCTGTCATTGAGCACCCACCACGCCTGAGTGTCAACCTTCAGAACTGTCAAGTTATCGATTGCATCTAGTATCATAGCGAATTTACCAAAACCTCCGTCGAATCATACCTTCTGTTCACAACATATCGTGTGCTCAGTAAAAATTACCGCACTTCCAAGCGAACGATGTGCTCTACGGGGCTCATCCCTCGCCATGTCGTTCACGACTGTGCTCAGACAATACCATCAGCTTCCAGGAACATGGCTGGAAAGTGATTGAGGTGATTTTGGTAGAAATCAATATTCGTCACCTCGGTGGCTGATATCGTTTGTGCAGCTTCATTTCCAGGTTTCAGAGCGGGTGACCAACTTCCGTCGATCAATGCTTCTGCCACACTTCCACAACAGGCTTTAGAAGCACTCTACGTAACGTCTTCAACGTTGGAGGGATATAATTGCACATATTTTCATTCGTATTGCAGTGCTTGGGCTGAATAGTATACATCGAGTATGTGGCTAGTTACCAACCTCGGAGAGCCACTCTAGAGCACTACGCCCCCAAATCTAGCCAATATGCCAATTATCAAGGCTCGCTTTATTGGCATGTCTGCACCACCATCCGTATATCAGTATACGAAAAGTACAGCAGCATCGTTAGCACTGCGACGAAGCTCTGATGGCGGTGGTAGAAATGGCACTGCATCACATATAGCACGACATGAACATCCGTCACGAGAAACAGTAGTTTCACAGCAATACGGTCGTCGCAAAGCAGCATAGCGTACAGCTAAGCATAGAAAGACTCGCTGCAACCCGGGCTCACCGTAGGCCGATCCTCAACCGCGATATCCCCTAGCTTTCCGTCAATCAGAATGACACGACTATTGAGGCAAGAAACCAGCAGATCCATTTGATGCCATACCAGCCGTAGTGTACATGATAGTGATGACACCGCGCATGTATCTGTACATGCATGCAACAGGGCGAGTATTCTCTTGCGAGGATACCTTACAATGTACATGTATCAAGGTATGCGATGCATCAGCCGCTCCATACCGTATGCTAAGCCCAATCCGACAAGCTACAGCGGGTGCACCGTTTACCATCATGTACGTCCAAGGCGAGACCGTGCGCCACCTACTTCTTTCAAGCATATCGTTAAGGTTTAACTAATGCGAGTAAACTTCAACCCTGAACCAAGATACGTGAAGCAGAGTAAACCAACAAGAGACACGTATCTCATCGGTGACACCGATGCACAACGAAGGACTTCATGATGATCTCGCCATGTACCGCCATGGTACCGGGGTGTTTCTGCGCGCTCCAATCAACTCGCAGGACACGTACTATGTGATCATTCGATGAGAAGAATTGTCAACGCTAATACCTTCAATCTTCCCCTCTCAACGACAGTCCCGCGGCATTGGTAGCTGTCATAAGACGCGCATTCCCATGGTACCCGTACTTGCTAGCGAGAAACCGGGGCGGCGTTCTCAGCTATGTAGGTACACTTCGCCACAGCAATTCACCCCGCAAAACGTATATCCCAATCAAACCCCCCAACCCACCAAACCAGCCCTTGGCTCAGCTCGATTACCACCCATGTAACTGCACATCCGGTAACCTAAATTCTAGCCTCGCAGTACCATCGATCCACACAGCGGTGAGAAAGGCAAGTTTGTGGTGTGGCGGGGGGGTCCCCAGTCCGAATCAGGAAGTTGGTGTGTGGAGGTGTGGGTGAGACTTGCTTTTTCGCATCCTCTCGCCTCGGTCCCGTTTCTCAACGTTGGTACATGTTAGCGAGGGCATCCTGGGAAAATGGCTGGGCACGGGAATTGCGAGGCACATGGCGAAGTGTTGGTCCTTTCTCACCGCTGGTTTTGCGTGCGCGAGGCTCGTGACGCTGATGCAGCTTTCGTTGAGGGGGTGGGTGGTTGTGGGAGAGATGGGGATGCCCCGCGATTTTTTGAGAGATGGCCGACTGTTGTTGCTGCTTCTCGTGTCTTCAGAATCCGCGGAGGGCTTCAAGATGGTCCGAAGATCCGAAGTGTACCTAGATATGCTAGCGCTTAACGAATGTGCCTGTTATGGAACGGGGCTGGGGGTCGGCTTCCCCGGGCGCATGATCATGACAGAATTGGGTGAGGAGCACATTCAGTTTCTTGAGATGTAGGCGGGAGACGTTTTCCTTTTACTGAGGCGCATATGCTTGGATGCAGTCTGTTCGTAACAAAGGTTCATCGCTATATGCGACTCTGCAACGCCATATAGTCCGAGAGTCACTGTATGCATTTTGTTATAATCTAGACTGTGAAGACTCTAGTCATATCTCTCCTCCGTCTGCGAATAGTAAACCTAAAACTAGTTGATTACGTGATACTCTCTAGCACTGTCGCCACCTTATTGGGAGAGAAACACTGTGGGTGCATCCATTGCTTCTCGTCTCCTATCTTCATTAAGTATAGAACCACAGTACTCATAGCTAATACCATCAATACTCAGGAATGTAGCTGCTCATACTCTCATCCAATTCCCTACATCTATGTTCCAATCTGCCCATCAGTGCCACTCATCATCTCCTCACACTCCATCTCCCCATCCACATCTCACTCCTCCATCCCCCAAACATCCCCAACCCTAAACCCCACTGGAAAAGGATCCTCATTATCCACCAAAACCTGCCTGTACCCCGTAATCCACGCCCTCCCCTTGACCCTCGGTAGAATCGCCTCGTGATCCCCAACTTTCGTCGTACCCAAAATACTACACTGAAACTGCGTTCCAACAATACTCCTATGAGTTAACCTCTGCCCAACCCCCAACAACCCCTTCGCATGCAACACCGCCATCCTCGCCGAAGTCCCCGTCCCACATGGACTCCTATCGAACCTGCCCGGGCTCACCACCACCGTATTAACACTCGCCAAACTGCCATCTTGCTCCTCCACCACCGGCCCCGTAAACTCAATCGCACTAACGCCCCTAATCTGCCCATTCGCCGGATGAACAGGCACATAAACCTGCTTTACCCTCTTAAAAATCCTCTGCCCCAATTCCACAAGCCGCCTCCCATGCCTATTCTCCACCCCAATCCCCGCCCCCAATTTCTCCGTATCCACAAGCACAAAATACATACCACCCCACGCAACATCCACCTCTACAACGCCCAAACCCTCGACATCAACCTTAAGCCCCAACTCCTGAACAAAAGCAGGAACATTATCAAACTCCACACTTCTCACCTTCCCCGCTTCACACTCCGCCCTCACCCTCACAACCCCCGCCGCCGTATCCAACACCACATTACTAACCGGTTCTCTCATCTCCAGCATCCCACTCTCCAACAACACAGTGGTAACGCAAATAGTGTTACTCCCGCTCATAGGCGCATACTCGTCGCTCTCCAGGATGAGGAAACCGGCGTCGGCGGAGGGGTCGCAGGGGGCGAGCAGCAGGTTCATGCATTGCGAGACGCGGCCGAGTGGTTCTTGCATGAGGCGTTGCCGGTAGTGGTCCGCGTTGTGGAGGAAGTATTGTAGTTTGGCGTACATGGTGGGGAGGTGGACTGGGTCGGGGATGCCGGAGGTTATTACGTCGCCGATTTCGCCTTCGGCGTGGACGGTTGTTATGTGGATCATGGGGGAGGGGGTGTTGGGTGGAGGGGTGGCCATTTTGGGGGTGGTAATGGCGGAGGGTGAGGGTGGGCAGGGGAATGATGGAGCTGGAAGGGGCGTTAGTATGTGTAGGTATCTTGATTAGGGATGATATGTATTTGTACCGACAGTTCAGTGATTTGATATCGATTCCTATGTCTCTTCCTTGCATTCGATAAGTTGGTAATGCTGTATATCCAAACTCCACACAATCGGCGCCTGGAAGATGTCCTTCAACAAGTTAATATTTCGAGAGACTATATATCTATCACCCCAGAGATAAACAGAGTCAGTGAACTATCGGATCCTATACACGACCCACACAAATGTAGTCGTAGGGCGTGCTGAGCACAGCCAAGTGCTGAGATGCATACCCCGCTTCCTACAACGAGGGGTCAAGCTTACCTACATGTCAAGACGAACTGTGTTTATAAGCACACTGCCACAAGCAACTGAGATCAGTGGGTCTGAACACTACACGTCGACAATATTACTATTACTATCCCAAGAGGCGACTCTTTCTCCCTAAGTTCTATGATATTACAAACAAGGACTTTGCTCTGCAAAGCGAGACTGCTATACTCAAACTTTTGATGCAGCGAACGCAAAGAATGGTATGTACACGCAGAAAGAGGTAGCCGATGACAGTCGGCCTGCGATCGCACAAGCATATATACACCTTAACCCCACCCATATCGTAACGGCGTCCCAAAATCAACCCAACCTGCAGTATGATGCAGTCAGGAAGAACGTCTAGCGGAGCTTCTTCGTCTCAGAAGCATATGTGCGATCGTTCTCGTCACCCTCAACTTCTTCGACCATCTTATCGACGGCCTCAGCTTGCTTCTTCCACTCGCTCTGGCACATCTTGAGTTCCTTCTGGAAGAGCTCGTCGTTGGGCTTCCTGTAGCTTCCACCAAGACGGTCCCACAGCGTCGTGTATTGACCGTAGTTGTAGTTGAAGTATAGGTGGTGCATGGTATGGCAAGCAGCACCATTGATGATAGGCGAGTTGTGCGCGTATTCGCCGTCGTGGATCAGGACGGTCCAGATGTTGACGAAGACGAAGAGGAAGACGTATGCGAATTTCGAAAGTGGGAACAGGAAGGGGAAGATGTGGTAGGGAAGGCCCTGGGCGTAGCCGTCGGCGGGGTGGAACGCGTGCGAGGCGAAGGGCGTGGGCATGATCCACTTGTGGTGCGGCTTGTGGACGTGTTTGTAGACGCGTGGGTGGTGGAGACCGCGGTGAATCCAGTAGATGGCCGAGTCGGTGAAGAGAAAGAAGAGCGGGAACTGCAAGTAGTTGTACCAGAGCCCTGGGCCCTGGTCTACCGTGTCGTATAGCTTGGAGTAGCCGCGCACTTCGAGCAGGAACCAGGGCACGGTGAAGATGGCCATGATGGGGAAGGCGATGTTGGCCTGCTTCATTTCGAGCTTGATCTGGTTCTTGAGGTAGCGCGGGTGGTTGAAGGTGGACTTGTCGAAGACGAGGAAGTACGAGGCGCCGGCGAAGACGTAGTATACTAGGACACCAAAGAGCCTGGAGAGTTGTTAGAGGAGTATTGCACAGAAGGCTCGGGCAGCGCATACCATGTGATGAGGTACAAGGACACCGCCTGTCGCCGCCAGTCGTCGCGTGTCCATTGGCTCATGTAGGCATACTTGGAGGGCTCGACGGAGAAGAATTGCGTCGAAGGCTCGTACTGCCAGGTCGCGTGCGGGAGAGCAAAGCCCGTAGGCTCCTCTCTAATGCTCGAAATCGTTGCATTGCCGGCGAAAGAGGGTGTGGAAGCGGGGAGGAGGACCGCGTAGAGAGGGTCGAAGAGAAACGTGTCTGCTAGTTCGAGGACGACGTCCATGGCTATTCGGCTGGGGCGAGGAGACGCCTCGGCGATCGGCGGATTCAGGTACGGAAGGCCTGCGATTCGTGATGTTTGAGGACCAACGGGCGCACACAATGCAGGTACACGTCACAACAAGAGACGGGCAAAATAAGAGCAATGCAAAGAGAGCAGAGTATCTAGGATAGAGTATAAACGAATGTGGGGAGGCGAATGCTCTCGTTCAAGTAGGTAGTCATAACGGCAACGCTTCCATTTATCGGCGATAAGTTTTCGGCGCCCCGAGTACAAGCGTCCCTGAGGGAAATGTCGCCAGGGTCCATGTTAACTGCTTTGGTTCCTCAACCGTGGACGTTGTGCCAATCAAGCGTCAAGACGGCCGACTAGAGACGCTCACGTGACTACGCATCACAATCTCGCGCGCCGGAATCGACGCATCCGCTGGTTCCGAGAGTGGACTGACAGCCCTACAGACGCTGCCCCTTATCAGATCTTCTCATCCGATGCTCGGAACATGCTCGGACGGTGACAGCACGGTTGACACGCCACTCTTGCGCTTACAAACCGTGATTGCGCGTTTTGTGGCGTGCATTGTCTTGACTGGTAGTGAGAATCATTTGTTGGTGGCATGGAAGGTTTGGTTCTAGGCGGTCTCGGCAGACCCTCTTGTGAGTCGTATACAGCTGATGCTCATTCGTCTCTATGTCATACCAGGCCTCGACAACACAATTACTTTGCCACAATGCTGACAACATCCTCATCGGCCACTACATGCCCTAAGCCCACCTTCTGCGGCACGTGCCTGGCACTTGCGCCCCAAACCAGCGCATGCTTGAACGTCTCCTTCAGTGTCCGATGAACTTGGTCGCAGACGTCTTCGATCGTGCTTCCGTGCCGTACAATGAGCGCCTCTGAGAAATCTGGGTCGTTGCCCTTCCTCTTTGTGTACACCCTGATCAACCTCAACTCTTCCCAACACCTGTCCACAACGTCTTGAATACCGAGATCGAGCTCACAGCTCATGACGACGGTGTGTGGCTCGCGTGCTAATTCGTCCAAGTGCGGGAGACCGATGCTATCGATCTTGTTGTACACGTAGAGACACTTGATGTATTTCCTGTGGTCCTTCATGATGACGTCGATGAAGTCGTCGACTGTTGCGTTTTCGTCTCGGACGAGGACTTCGCAGTTGAGCATCTTGTAGTCTTTGAGAATGTTGTAGACCATCTTCTCGTCGAGATGCTTGGGCGGGACCTGGAAGTTGATCTTCATGCCGCCAGCCTTCTTGGGCTTGAGATAGATATTTCTGTGTGTCGATGAGATTCTGCCATGCCGAGAAGAGTTGAAGTGAACTTACGGTGGCTCGCGGTTCAATCTGATACCCACAGCTTCCAACTCGGCTTCCAACAATCGCCTCTGTTCCGCCTTCTTCGTAGCATCGAGAATCATGCAGACAAGATCACTCGTCTTCGCAGCACTAATGACCTGTCTTCCTCGTCCCTTGCCCTCCGCAGCACCCTCAATGATACCCGGCAAATCCAAGACCTGAATCTCAGCACCACCATACTCAAGCACACCAGGAATCGCCGTAAGCGTGGTGAAGGCGTAGGATGCGGCTTCTGATTTTGTCTTTGTGACTCTGGAGAGGAAGGTCGACTTTCCTACCGAGGGGAAGCCAACGAGTGCAATACGCGCATCTCCGGATTTCGATACATCGAATCCTTGTCCTCCACCGGAACCTGCACCTGCAGCGGGTTCGAGGAGTTGTGCGCGGAGACGGGCAAGTTTTCTGTAGCATGGTTAGCATACAGAGACTATATATAGGAGTATAGATAGTGTACCCTTTCAGTAGACCAAGATGATATTCTGTACTTGAATGTCAGCACGTGATACACAGTGCATCCAGTATCAACAGACTGTAATCTGCTTGTACATACCCGTAGCCTTATTCTCTGCATCTCGTTAGCGCAAATACCATCAAAAAGCACTATCCCACTCACTCTGCGTCCTCCTCATCTCATCCTCAATCCTGGCGGGGCGTTAGCGCAAGGCCACATCAAAACTTCGGCGCTATCCCACTCTTTGATCTTCTCCGTAATATTCACCATCTTGACGGTTTACTTCGCACTCTTCGCACTCGGATAGAGAGGGACTGGGGTGAGGATGAACGGTAATCGCACTTTGTGGCGGGCTGCAGTCCGGCAATATCACGATGGTAAAGGTTTGGTGTTGCAGGCGCCCGCAGCCCAGCGCCATTGCGCTTCGGGCCTAGCGCGTGGGCTAGCGAACGCAAGATGCAGTGCGTCATCTGAAAGGCCATGAGCTTTCGCGCCACGCTGGTTTGTTTTGTGGTTTCTAGTGCTTAGTCTTGTTGCTTTCTTTCCTATGTTGTGAGTTTCTTACTTCTGTATCGCTTCTCGTTCTGGCTTGGAAGCATGTTGTTTAAATCCGAGGATCCTTGGCCGCGTTCGCACCACGACTTATTAGATCATTATCACGCTCAATACGATAAAGCTATCGCATCTGGGGAATACCAACCATTCTTGTATCCATGGGGAACCCTTGGCGCCCTTTTTGTTATCATATATCTTCTCATCCCGCATCAGAACCGCCCGTGGCTCGAGAAAGGACGATACTTGGCATTTGCATGGATTGCCGGATTTGCAACTTACAGTAACCTATACACAAAGGCGAGGGCTGTAGCACCAGCTTTGGGTATCGGTCTGGTCAACGCATGGAGCATAGCATGGGTTGGCGCGATCATAGTGTGCAACGATGCACAGACAGATTTCATGAGGATTGAAAGGACCGGAGGCGTCTTTGGTTCGGATCCAGACCAGGGGAAAGAGAAGACACAACACGATGGAGGTGCAGAAGCCAAAGAAGAAATCAAGAATCACATCTTAAAAGCCGACCTCGTCAACAGCTCCTCCGGGCCACGAGACCGCCACGGCCAATACGCATGGCAACCCTACCCTCTCCGCCCCTTCATCGAGCGCCTAGACTGGGTACTGGACATATTCTGCAACTTCCGGGGCATGGGCTGGAACTGGCGTACCACCGCCCTGCCCCCACCCCCCAAACCCATCCAGATCCAACTCGACGCCAACTCCCAATCCACCGTCCCAAAGCACACCTACAAAACCCACTCTGGCCAAGTAGCACAATTCACAAACC